GACATGTTCACAGATATTAGAAAGCATGGGAAGCGACCATTGTGGATTGGAGAGGATATATGGGCTGAGTTGAATGCAGCTTGGGGCAGCGAAGAGTACACTAGGAGGGATCAAAATCGACAGAACAGAGCTTCTGATGTTGGGGGCTTGGGTAGTTTTCTTCATACAGGAGGCTCCGTTCCACATACTGAGCACAGGCGTCGTTTGGTAATGAATTTTAAATATTTTTTAAAATTGATCTTTAATTTGTATTAATAAAATTCTCTTAATTCTAATAGAAAGAGACGCATGGTAGAGAACCAACTCCTTTGGAATTGTATAGTCGCACTCATAAGCGATAGGAGGATCACCAATGGATTGATGAGAGAGCTAGGAAAGCCCATGTAAGTATATATTTATATGTGTTTAATAATTTTTATTTTTAGTTTAATTATATATATTTATACTCTACTTTCACATGAGGAATATACACGGCTTCGGGAGATTCATGTTGCAGCAGGTGAGGGCTCTTCTGGCGGCTTTGTGGAGTTTTCTGAGTATCGCATCTGGTCGCAGGCCGTCGGAGGAATGCAGCATGGGAGAGTTTATGGTTTAGGTGCGCAAGCTCAGGCATACGAGGCGATGACCTCCTCTACTGCATCCAGCTTCGCATCCAGTTCTCATGAATCCTTGCAAGCTCAACAAATAAGTGCCCTACAAGCTGAGCTAGAATAAGTAAGAAAATCACAAACTGATTGGCAAGCTCAGTTGCAAACGCAGGTTCAAATGCATATGCAGGAGCAACACAATCAGTTGTTGGATGAAATGCGCAAAATGAGGGAGCAGATGAGTGGAAAAGAGGTAGCTCTAGCTGAGGAGGAGTCCACGGATTCAGAGTAGTTTAGTTTATTTTATGAACTTGTTTATTTTCTTTGAATCTGTAATATTGAATAATATCTGATATTTTTAGTTGGTTGTTACTATTAAACAATTTCTTTTAATGAATATTTATATTTTTGTGCATCTTTGAATTGCTATAAACTGTTCTGGAAATGTTATAAACTATTGTGGATAGATATTTGTATAGGTTTGCAGGTGTGGAAATGTGATTGTTGGCTAGGAAGGTAATTTTTTTTGTGAATGCTACAGGTTTTCGACGGATTTAGCGCCGGTATGTCGTCGGAAATGACGATACAACGAACCGTATCGATCTAACCGGCGTTTTGCGTAAGCCGGAAATTACCGTCGAACTTTCCGACATCATATCAACCGGCCATTCCCGGCGCATATTTTGCATCGTAAACATCCCGCAGGTTATTTACGGCGTATCAACGGCGTTTTATCCGCCGGTGATTGCCGACGCAATCATACGACGGAAATTACCGGCGCATATGTCGCCGGAGTCAGCGGCCGAAATGTCGACAACTGCCATCATTTTTTGCGCCGGTAATGCGTCGGAAAGGGCGCCGGAAAGTGTTCCGGCGCAAACGTATGCGCCGGAAGACTCTTACCGTCGCGCTCCAAACAGGCGTAGATAATTCCGCCGAAACGTGCGCCGGAAACCTATAATTCCGACGGAAATATTCTATTAGCGGCGGATATTCTCCGCCGGTAATGACGGGTTTTCCCGTAATGTTTATTGATACTGATACGATATATACTAAAAAAAAGATCGATTAAGCCCAAATTTCTTACTTATTTTGTGTAACTATTAAAATGTATATTATTGGTGCATTGTTCTTATTATTATCTAGATTTATTTTTATTGCATAGATTTATTATTACTATATTATTTTACTACTCCTACCACTGGATTGTTACTGTTATTGATATAGAAACTGATATTATTTAATAATACTGATTCATTATACTTATACTAAGCATATGATATACTTAGTATGTAATATAAATATTTGATACTAATATAGAATACCTTAATAGTATGTGTGCACACTTATATGATTTTACTTTATTAATGTAATTTTTATAGTCTTTGTCGATACTTTAGTTTTATCTCTTTATATAATTTCTCTATTGATAGATAATACTGATATGATGATTTCTTTAGTAATTTGACACCCATAAGAGTTTACTAATTTTTCATTGTACTACTTTACTGCTTCTATATTGCATCACTTTATTAATTACAGACTTTACCATTACTGCATGTGTTTTACTATTTTAACATTAATATGTGATCATATTAATACTAATACTATAACTTGACTACTAACATGCTTATTACTTCTTTGTTGTACTTTGAGTATATTTGTAGGATTTGGCTACTTATTTGGCTCTAGAGTTCATTATATGCGATTATATGCTTTCAAATTAAGGAAAGGGAGCATGAGTGTGAGATTGACTAAGATCCTTCAGGTTTAAATTTTTATTATTTTAGCATAATTTTTTTTATTATTTTAGTAATTCTTTTATACTTATGAAAGAATTGTTGTGATATAATTGTATAGATCTTGAGTAGTGTTTTCATATATGCAACATGAATTACCATAGAAATTTTTGGTATTTCATGCATCATCTTAATTACCTATTTAAATTATAATTACTTACTATTGCATCTAAATTTTATAACTCATGGCATGGCATTGAAGGAGCACTAAATTTTAAAATATTATAAGTGCACTCTCTAAAATGACACTTTGGTAACTTATATTGAGAATGAAAAATTGGATTATATTAATAAAGTTATTATTCAAATCTTTAAGAATATGAAGAGCTGGCATCATAAATTATATCTGCTTTCCTTTTTCTCAGCATTCATCTTATAAATTATAAGAATTTTTTTGCTCTTCCACTAAAATCAATATACTATTTTCAATATATTATGGGCTTTCCAAAATTTTTTTATATTATTAGAAAGATTAAACTTTTGCTTGCTGGGTTGAACTTTACTTTAGTCCATATTTTTCGTGAGGGTAATGCTTGTGCTGCTTTCTTGGCCAAGAAGGGTAGCCAAATTAATGTTATGGAAGAATTTTCTAATCCTTAACCTCCCTCATCACCTGCGTGGATTAGTAAGACTTGACAAATTGGGTATCCCTTATATTCGCTCTATTGAATATCTCTGTTTGTCCTCTGTTCTTGTTTCTGGGCTTTTGTTGGCTCTATTTGTGTAATCTGGAATCTAACTTATTTTTTATGTTTGTTTCTGTTGCTGCTGGGTGTCTCTTATTAATGTTGAGTTGGTGCTGGTTGAGAAGCAGTGGTGATTTGCGATACCAGTTACTTGGGCGCTGGTTTTTTGCGGAGGATGCTACTGTTATTCGATATTTTTGGTGTTTTTCCTCTGGTTTCCCATGGTTCTTTTTTTGTAGGTTGCTTCCACCTTGAGGAAGGTTTTGGCGAGAAAGATGGTGCATATAGGTTATTATTTGATCTTTCTTATTTTTGGGCGCATTTTTCGTGCCGCCATAGAGTGTTCCTAGGCTATTTTGTATTTTGAGTAGATGGGGATATTCGACCCTTAGGTTTTTTATCTTTTTGATTGAATGTAGCTCTTCGAGCATTAGAGGGCTGATAATCTCTTTAATTAAGGACTTGTAATTTTACTTTATATCAACGCGTAGGCCCTTTTGCGGATTTCAACTAAAAAAAATACTATTTTCAATAAAATTCAATTTGATAATTTTTTATTATATATGATGTTGGATGTTTATGATTAGGGTTTGAGAGTTTTTGTATTTCAAATTTGTGCTTCTTTATGTTGCATATGTTAGTGTTGCCTAGTGGATGTTCTACTTTGGGCCAATGGCGGTTTAGGTGGGGGTCCTAGGGGCATAGGCCACCACTGGCTTGCTTGCTGGCTAGCTGTTAAGTTTTTATTAACTAAGGTTAATTATGGTAATGATGAATTACCATCTAATTCATGTTATTTTCATATGTCTCCACAAATCCCAAGTGCTTCATCATGTTTGACACGGTACATAAGTAATTATGCATGGAGTTGTCCTCGCAAGCAGCATTATGGCACCGACACGTAGGTGGCAGGTGACCATCTTAACATCTTTTGCAGACAGGCGATAACGACGACAGGTATTTCTCTCTCTCTTTCTCTCTCTCTCTCTCTCTCTCTCTCCTCTTCAAATCTGAACCAAAAAATGGGAGTAGAGGAGCCAAACCATGACCTACTTGCTTGAAGAAGGGAGAACAATTCTACATCATTAAATAAAAAGGTTTTTTAATATGATAGTGAACCATGGATGTATTATATTAATTTTATGAGGAATGTTCTAGTGAACAAATTCATTATTAAATTTGAGAAACAAACCATCTAAATGGCTGCTATTGATCGATTCTCTAGAAAACCATTTTGTGGTGCAGCAAATTTGAAGACAGCTTCTCTCTCTGTATAGAAAACTTGTTTAATAGTTCTTAATTACTTTTTCTTTCATTAGCTGAAAATTTAATTTCAAAAATATTGTTTCAGATTCAGACATATGAATGTTTTGAGAATTGAAATTAGTGTTGTATTGCACCATTCTTAAAACAATTTTAATAATTCTTTCTTTATAATAAAACTATTTTTAAATTTAATAATTTGTGCCCAACTTGAAAAAAAATCTGACTTTGTCCTTGCTAGGGCTATGTTGGTTTTCTTTCTTTTGAAAATCTTATTGATAATTTATCAAAATTAGAAAATATGATTGATGTGACAAAATCATTTTATAATCTAGTCTTTTCACTCTGCAAGCTATATATGTATATTTATATGCTATAGAAGTTTTAAATACTTGAAAATTTTTAATTGTAAGATTGATTTTTTATTTATTTCTTCAGACTTTTAGAATTATCATTTAAGTTGAACATTTTGGTCATTATATCATTTATCTATTATCACATATGCTTAGGTTATGCTATTTTTTATTTTCTACTTATTATTGTCAGTAAATATTTTGTTATTATATTAATTTATTATATTGTTGAAAGATATTATCATTCCTCTCAATTAATGAAATGCTAGATGTAGACCCCAAATTAATAATATATATATAATTAAAGGGCATTATTAAAGTCTGATACAGATAAGAAGCATATGATAGGCCCACTCGCTTAGGAGTCTGGCGGGACAAGAAGATTGCATGGGACTGGGAAGGTGGCCAGCTTCGCTCATGCAGGATCACGTACCGTCCACGTCATGTCCCCCTCATATATCCAATGGCACACCTCGATTTTCCCCGGCCCCGGTCCCAGCGCCACGAACGCCCCGTGGTTAGGGCTCCAATCCGACGTGTCGATATGACAGATGGCGATCCCATGATTGATCTCCTCCTTGCTATCAACGGCCAAAATTTCAGCTTCATAAACGCGCACTCTCGGGACAGAGTGGCAATAGTAAACCAGGTACGGAAACAAGCTCTGGTGACAGCTCACCGATTCAGTAATGTTACCTCCGTTCACCCCTTTCACCTCACCGATGAGGATATTTCCCTTAGAGCCCTTCGTGTTCGTCGAGGATCTCACTTCAACATTACTGCCGAGGGTAGAGACGGCGAAGTCGATCATGTCCTCGGCCGAAGTCGCGCAACGCTTCGTCTCCCCACGGCTGGGCAGCCTTTCGCAGTCCGCTACCGTTGAAGCCACTGCCTTAGCCATGGCAGTGCCAGGAGGAATCTTGAAGATTTCTGTTACGGCGGTGACGGACAAAGGGATCTTTCCAGCGATCGAACGCGGAAGGAACGAACGCGGCTGCATCCGATCATGAATGTCCGGCATCGGCATTACCGTCCCCTTTTTCAGGCTGCTTTCTCTGAAGAACTTTCCAGCCTCTACCCGCTGATTAACCTGGGGATGCCTCGACTCCGTGTGGATTTTAGCGGATGAGGAATTGTGGTAAGATTTGAAATCGATCCCTGTATTCGCGTAGCCCTTGAATGTCGTATCGTCCTCGAAGTAGGACTTAAAGGTAATGTTACCATATGTGGAATTCTCGCCATAGCCCTTGAAGGCATCGGTGCCCGAGCTTTCATTACCGTAATTGTTGAATTCTGCGGTACCAAAGATGCCGTCCTTCTCATAGGAAGTAAATGAATCATCACCGATGTTGGATTGATGGCGGTAGGTGGTGAATCTTTCGGTTCCATCGGTGGTGCCAGAGCCGTATGATTCGAAATGATTGTTGGGGATGTTGGCGTGTTCGGAATAGGTTTTGAAGTTATCCACGTTCCCGGCGGCGTTCTCGCCGTAATGGGAGAAACCACTTTCAATTATATTAGAATATTTGTGGGCATAAGTGGTGAAGTCAGATGCTGTTCCACTGCCGTCCTTGCCGTATCTGGAAAAGATCTGCTGGCCAACGTTGGAATCGTCCCCGTAATGTACAAATCCGGCAATCCGGCCGGATGCATTGGTGACGTAGTTGGTGAACCCTAGGGCAACGCCGTCAGTGGAATTGGCGTATACGTTGAATTTATCGTTTCCGGAAGCTGAATTGGCTCCATAAGAGGTGAAATTGGCACCGGTGTCGACGTTTCCGGGGCCGTACTTGGCGAAGGAGTCGTTGTGTCCACCGGAGTCGTGACCGTAGCGGTTGAACGTGCTTAACGGGACCTCATTCCCGAAGTAGTTTTTGAAGGAAGACAGGCCTTCGCTGGCGGTGTTCGCGTAGTTGGAAAAGTTGCTGTTTTCGTAGCTGGAGAAAGCTGAGTCGCTGGGATGGGAAGCAAGGGATGGGGTTAATTCAGTGGTGCAGAGGAGGGCGGCGGCGGAGCAGAAGGAAGGGAGGCTCGAGGAAAGTTTGAAGGGGTCGGACGCGGCAATGGTGGAGAACTTGGCGGCGTCGGAGATGGAGAGCGGCGTAAGCTTGGAGACGAGGAACTGTGGATGGCGAGAAGAGTTGGGGATTTTTCGGTTCCAGTAACGGAGAAGTGCGGCCTTTTCGGTGAATGGGTTCGAGGATGATTTCGCCGGCGCTGGCGAGTTCTCCGCTGCGGTTGTCGAGAGGGCCAGGGAGATGAGGATCGCCAGTATAAGGTAGAAATCCATTTTCCTCTACCTTTGTACTCGCTAGCAGTAAGCAGCCGGAGCGCAGTGGTATTTAGAGAGCGGATGGTGTAAAACCAGTAAAAAAACAAAGCTTCTGTTCAGCGTTCAATAGAGCACGTGCTCATGCCCAAGTTGAGCTGAACGAGCATGGCAGCACATGGGCAAGTGGCTTATGCTGTTGAGCTCATCGACCAGATGCATTCACAGTTGTTTGGCAATAGTTTTGTAGTAATTGAACTGTTTAGTAAAATGATAATTTAAAAGAGGATTAAATTTTATTAAACCAGATTAAATATTTCATGTTATTTTCATGAACGCGCAAATAAATATTTCTTTATAGTTCAAAGAAATTGTGGTACGATGGTCTTGGATTCTTAATAAATAAATAAAAATGGTCTTTGATTGTCGTAATCAATTCTATATTTTAGTTTGTGTAAAATAAAATTATGAAATGTATAATTTTATATCTAAATATATATATTTTTTTAATTTTAGTTAACTATACTTATTGAACATTGACAAAATAATTCAAATGTTTATTCTTTCAAGGAAAAAAAAAAACAGCTTTGTGGTTCCACCCCTGCTTGAATATGTTAGATGTATAATAGAAGTTAGAAAGACTAATATAGTATGTTGAATGAGACAAATCGAGTATATGGATTAAGGACTAATCTCAATTTTTTTAACCTTCTTTTGAATTTCACATTCACAAATTTTGAAAACACCGCATTGATTTTATTTTTAACGTGAAGTATTCATAGATGAAAAAATTATTGGCTTTTTTCAGTTCAATAATTGCTACTAATATTAAAAAAAGTTTATTGATATATTTTTCCTCTAATTGAAAAAGATAATTTATTACATAGCGAAGGAACTACCTATCTTCATTGTCAGAAATCGTGCAGTGAATTTACATATTGATAGTTTAGGCATAACTATTGCGAGAGATAGTAACCATGTAGATGTAAGCAATGATTGTGTTACATTTTCATTTGATGTAAGTCTTGGAGCAAACTGAGTTGCAATATAGGTGAAATTATAGCATATGTATTGATCTAATGTTGACTGTTATGCATAATGATTTTTGTCATAATTGTTTTAAGAAGACATACTCCTACAAGCAAAAAAAAAAAAAGATGTCTTTGTTGTTATAAAAAGTTGTGTAGCCAACATGTTTAGAGATAGTTGTAGTAAATAGGAGTGGCTATGGTGTGAAAAATTGAAGTGATACAAACAAGTTGACATAGGTCCTATGGGCAATTATTTTGGCATGCATCTCACTAAGATATGCATATTGGGGTGGCAAGAACTACTGTAAAGAAAAAATTATAATGCAATCGTTCTTTTATGATTTCTTTGATAATTTAACCTATGCTGTTCTCTCTCTCTCTCTCTCTCTCTCTCTCTCTCTCTCTCTCACACACACACACACACACACACACACACACACACATTCAATAATGTGAATGTTGGCAATAATGTTAATGTTTCTAATAATAGTCCAGAACTGCTTGCTCCACCCACGAATAATGTGAATGTTGGTTATAATGTTTGTTTCTTATTTTATCAAACTGAATATCCCTTCCATGGGTAATGAGAATATGGGCAATAATGTGGTTGGTTCTAATGATTCTTTCATTGATGCCTCTTTGTCTTTGAATGTATCAAATTTGGTTCTTGCTATTATTTTACATATTTTATCTGATTCTAATAATGATTTAATGGTTTTTGGTGTTAGGGATGTTGGTGAACAGTGTAGTTTGGGACAACATTATAACGGGGACTATGAAAGTGCTTTCCCTTCAGGTAAATTTGTTGATCAATGGGAGGAAGGGGTAATAAAATCTGATGATGAACGGTATACTCTAAATGATCTCGATGATTTTGGTAAAGCTCTTCTTACACATGGTACTAAAGATGATAATATTTGGACTACTGTCAAGAGAATGAATAGGAATAAGAAAAAAATGGTTTCTAGACCATCATCTAGTGAAGTAAGAATCACTATATCTATTGCTTCTTCTAAAAATATTGTTGATGTTTAGTATCTTAATTTGAAATGTTAGGGGAGTTGGCAAGGTTGACTCCATGTGCAAAATTTTTAATTTATGTCGCATTCATAATATTAAGGTTCTTCTTTTATTATATCCTATGGCTGATCCCTCTATAATTGTTATTTGCTAGAGACAATTTGGTTTTGATTGTTCCTTTTCTAGCTCCTCGGGTAATATTTAGATTTTTTGGAAAGGTAATGTTAATATGTCGATTGCGGTTGACTGTGTCAAGTCATTCATTATTGCTTCTCTATTTTTAATGTCCAAATTATTGGTTTGTTCATCTATGTTAGTTGTTCTAAACTTGGTAGAATACCCTTGTGGCCGAATTTAACTCAAATTGCTTATTTGTTCAGTGGTCCTTGGTTTGTAGGTGGAGAATTTAATGTCATTTCTCATTGTAGTGAAAAAGTTGGGGGTTCTCCTCCTAGCTTGAATTCTATAGAGGATTTTAACAATATGATTTTGGATTGTGGTCTTACTAATATTGGCTTTTTTTGTCCTAGTTTTATGTGGTCAAATAATAGAATTTGGGAAAGGCTTGATCATTTGTTGTTTAATGGTGACTGACTAACTTCTTTCTTTAACTCTACTATTGAACATCTTAGTCGGACGGTTTCTGATCACCCTCCTCTCCTCTTGAAGATTTCTCAAGTTAATTTTCAAGGTGTTAGCCCTTTTCATTTTAAAAATATGTGGTTAAAGGATAATGATTTTGTTAACATTTTGAGGAAAATTGGGACACCCCTGTCCAATATTTTCAAGGGGATAATGATATGATTATACTTTCCCTTAAGTTTAAAAGGCTAAAATATTATTTAAAGTGGTGAAATAATAAAAAATTTTGAAAATATAGTTAGGCTAAAAAATTGATGGCTGCTCTTGAAAGTAAATTTCATATTTTCTCTTATTATAGTGATTAGGAGCATGTAAGGTTGGCTAAGGCTAATCTCCATCATTTTGAAATCATAGAAGAGTATTGGAGATAAAAAGCTACTTCTAAGAACCTTGTTGAAGGTGAAAAAAACACTAAATATTTTCATTCTTTAGTGAATTCTAAGAGATCCAAAGCTTCCATTAAGAGGATCAAACTTGACTCTGGTAAATGGTGTGAGAATTATGCTGCTATTATTGAATCTATTATCAATTACTTTAAAAGTTCTCTTGGTGTTTCTAATCATGTTAATCAAGTGTCTAATCCTAACATTATTCCCTCTTTAATTATTAATGTTAACAAACAATCTTTATCTAAACTTCCTGATGAAGATGATATCTATAAAGTTTTTATGTCTATGAATAAGGATTCTGCTACTTGTCCAAAGGGTTTTTCTATTGCTTTTTTCAAGAGTGTTGGATTATTATTAAGATAAATAATTGTAAGGCCGTTTGGGATTTTGTTGTAATGGTTTTGCTATTCCTAAATGCTTTACAATATCTCTATTGTATTAATTTCTAAAAAAAGGTCAACCCTACTAGTTTAAGTGATTTTAGACCTATAATCATGTGCTCCAAAATTTTGGTTATTAGATTAGCTCCTTTACATTAAAAAATTATCTGTATTGGTCAAACTATTTTGTTAAAGGCAGAAACATAGCTAATAATGTGTTACTTGCTCGGGAACTTCTGCATGAGATTAATAGAAATGTTCATGGTCATAACCTTATTTTGAAACTTGACATTTCTAAGGCATATGATAACCTGAACTGATCATTTTTATTTAGCAATCTTCATCTATTTGGATTTGATGCTAAATTAAAGTTGTCAATCTTCTTAAAAACATAATTGAGAATTATTTATTTTCTATCATTATTATTGGTATTTCTAATGATTTTTTTAAAGTTTCTCAAGGTATTAGACAAGGAGATTTTTTATCTCATGCTCTTTATATCATATATATTAATTATTTTTTTATAGGTTTGTCCCAATTTTTTTTTCCATTAATAGTAATTGTTATTACAAAAATTTTGTTGGCATCAATATTAGTCATTTTTATTTGGGCTATGATATCATTATTTTTTGTAATGGCACCTTCAAGTGTGTTAAAAAAATTAGATATCTTCCCTCTAATTTTGAAAATGAAAGTGTTATGTCCTTAAATAACAACAAATACACCTTTATTGGTAGAATGGGTATGTCTTATGTGCAGAGTAACAATATTACTACTTATACAGATTTTTCTATTCAAGTTTTACCTTTTTATTATATTGGAACTCCTTTATTTAAAGGTTATAAATGTTCTTTTTTGTTCAATAAGATTTTTACCTCTATATCTAACAAAATTTCTTGTTGGGAGTATATGTTGCTTTCTATGGTGGCTCATCTTCTATTTATTAAAAGCATTTCATGTTATATGCCCATGTATTTACTTCAGACCATCAACCATACTACCACCATTTATGATAGATTGGAAAAAAATTTTAATATATTTTTTTTGGATCAACACTACTGTTGTCAGGTCCTACATCCTAGATGAGTAAAGTGGAGGGTTATATTAGGTAGTCGATAGCCAGCATAAAATTTATCGAATAATTATGATATGAATCCTTTAAAAAATTATGTTAATGCTAGGGCATCCCTAGAAGCAGCATATTGTATGGTTTGAATACAGTGACAAGTGTGTAAGGCCCGTTACACCAGTGCCCATGTATAGTGTTAAATAGGCAAGGGTTCCCACATCAAAGATGGATGTGGGAAAAGAAGGTTGTTCATGAAACTAAAACTAGGATATGAATCTAGAATATAGGCTCCCTTACATGATAATTAATATAATTAATATATATTATGATTCATAAGAAGATAAATATTCTATGTATTAAGGAAACTAAATGGGTTGAAGGGAAGGCTAAGGAGATTGATAGTTTAGGATATAAATTATGGTATTCAAGTAGGAGTAATATTAGAAATGATGTAAGTTGATTATAGATAAGAGTTTGAAGGATAATATTATAAAAATTAACATAATTGGAGATAGAATTATAGCTTTAAAGATTATTGTTGATGTTAAAATTCTTAATATTATAAGTGCTTATACTCCTCAATTAGGTTTGGATAAGGGTTTAAAATTAAAATTTTGGAAAGACTTAAGAGAATTAATATAAAAGATACCTCATGAAGAAAGAGTTTTTATTGAAGAAGATTTAAATGGAGATATTG